TTTGATTGAGAGTTTGAGCGTGATTGTTGAATCAGATTGTTGAACACGCAAGATAACACGCTCTCTTTCCAAAACTGTAACTAAGGTCTGCTCAGCATAGTTGCAGTATAAACCACAGATGAGCTCTGGGGGTGTTGAATAAACACACAAGTATGTCTGAGCGGGCGTCTGCAATAGGGATTAGTTAGCCACTCTAGTACACGGGTATCCACGGATATATATATATATATATATATATATATATATATATATATATATATATATATACAGAGTGTCCATAAAGTCTCTTTACAATTTAAAAATTATATTACAAAGACAACTAATGAGATATCTTAATCAGATTTGTTCTATGTACTCAGGAGATATTAAATTCTTTAATCACATCGAATTTGTGCATTTCAGGTATCCTGTTGATGAGGTACTGCTAAATGAACCCCTAATGTTTCCAGACAGATAGATTCTAAGGGATGGCCCAATTCTCTGGCTACGTCGTTTACCAGATATCCCTACCCTGGACTTCTTTTTATGGGATTATGTTAAGCATATCATGTATCGAACAAAAATATGTGACATCACTGATCTAAAGCAATAGATACCATTTCCATCGTTGATAAAGATATGCTTCAGCGAAAATGGCAAAAAATCGAGAACCGTTTTGATGTGCTTTAGAAAAACTAAAGAAATAAAAATAAAACAGGAATTTAGCTTTATAGAAGTTAGTCCGACGATTGCATTCATCTTTTTGTGCTGTTTTGCAATCATCTTTGCTGTAAACAAAATAAACTAATTAATTTAATGTTTGGGGTGACAATAACGTTCTAACGTTTTAAACAGCATCTTTTAAGTTAATTTAAAAAAAAAAAAAAAAAAAAAAAGGAAAGGTTTCAAACTTACCGCCCCAGGGGATCTTTTTTCCAGTTGATGGAGCCTTGACGCTTGATGTACTACTGCAATTGTGAGGAGCATTAGAGTGAAGCCGATCAGCAAATGAGGGAGGGATCCCTTTTGAAAGATTCTTTTCGTGTAATCGTACGCCTTCATTTTTGAACAAGGTTACCTCTCAGTGTTTCGACGCAAGTCAAGAGAGCTTGGCTTTCACCGATAGTCTGAATTTTAACACTAACAGGCTGCTGGTTTTATTGGGTAATTCCGATATACTTGGGTAGGTAAAAGGACTTTTGTAAAAAATTCCACAAGAAGAAAACTGTCCAATCAAAACACTCCTACTATGTACCTCATTTATTTATATCCGGGACACATAAACTTCGTGTCAAAAAACAAGTTATTACATACATACATACATACATACATACATACATATATATATATATATATATATATATATATATATATATATATATATATATATATATATATATATATATATATAAAACTTCTCTTCTCATATCGTTTCTTTTTACTGAACTTCTTATATTCGTAAAGCAGTTATAGAGTCAAGGTTTATTGTTTATTGTACGACTTGAATACTTGAGAAGATTTTTTTTTTTAAAGAAATTCATACATTTCTTAACATATATACTATATTTTCCAATTGCGTGGTAGACAAAAACCTATATTTATAAAAACGAATAAATTCAAACATTCATTTCGCAGAATTATATGTGGTCATCTCACATATATATATATATATATATATATATATATATATATATATATATATATATATATATATATATACACCTAGTGAGCCAAACAAACCTACCTAGGTTTCACCTAAACGGATCGTCAAGGTTTTTCGTGTTTTTTCAGAAACGAGTATAGTTATCTATATTTGTATATATATATATATATATATATATATATATATAGATAGATAGATAGATAGATAGATAGATAGATAGATATATGCGTGTTTGTGTGTGTGTGTGTGTGTGTGTGTGTGTGTGTGTGATAAAAATATAGTTTTAAGGTATGCTATATTTATGAGTTAAGTTAATCGAAACTTCAATGTCTACTTCAATATTTAAGTTAATTTTATATTTATGTGTCATATTCATATTTATTTGTTATTTAATATTTAACTGTTATTTAATATCAATGTCCAATTTTATTAGCATACCATGATGAAAAAATGCCGCAGACATAATAAAAAACAAAGTTTTATCGTGAAAAATCATTATGATATTATTAAGAGGAAAGACCAAAAGATTTTTGGATTATTAAATTATATTTTTAATCCCGTTTAGAACGTTCAAAATTTTGATTAATAATTTTTTTTTCTTGCGTCAGCGTGGGTGGGGTTGCAAATATTAATATAGTGCAACCTCAGTTCTTGCACGTCGTCACATGTCGAACAAATTGGTTTTCAAACAGAATATTCGAGATGAAAATGCCTACGTTATCAAACAAAATTTCGGTTCTAGAACATTTCCGAATTGAACCGAACAGAGTTAACCCGAACGGAATCCTTTCTTAGTCGACCGCCATTTTGTATACATTCGTGTGTTGTGCTGTGCTTTTCTTTACCAATTTTATTGTACTTTACTTTTTTCTTTCTCTTCATTAGTCCTCAGTCATGGCTCCAAAGAAAGCGAGCAGTGATACTTATAAAGGAAAAAGAAAAGTTAAGAGAAAAACAATTGTTGATAATATTGTCTCTATGTTGATGATATTGTTTCTTCCTACTCAGTTTCATATGGCAAAATCAATGATCTATACTCTTCTTATAAATAAAGAGACGATCATGTCTTTCCTTCCCCTTTTCCAAACAATAACATCTCTTTCCTTTCTTTTCCACTTACGCCATCAACTCTCCTACATACAGGTACGATAAAATTAAAGCGTTTGCCTATATTTTATCTGTTTAGCATCGTTTTTTTTTTCTTCTTTTTTCTTAGATTTAAAGATTTCCATTAGTTTTAGGTATAAACTTGTTCACAAAGTACTGTTGTTAACGTTTAAATAAGCAATCATCTTGTGACCAGGAACGGATTAATCCATTTTACATTTATTTCTATTAGCAAAATAGTTTCGGTTTACGCGCATTTCGGGTGTCCAACGGGATTCAGGAACAAATTAAATTCGCAAACCAAGGTTCCATTGTATATGAAATTTTAGCGTCTTTTTGCGTTGAAAAACACATTGATTTGGAAATTCTTGCAAAAAATCAAATAGATGTCAGATTTTAATGGAACTTTCAGAACTTTTAAAAATTAAATTATTTTAGAAATGTTTTTTTTTTTAGAGAATCTTGGTAAAAATATATTTTTATATATGTTGCCACCCACACACACTTATTTAATTAAATGAAATTTAGGGAAATTAAATTTTGACACGTTTAATGATTATATTAGTTAAAAGCAGAACTTGCAAAATTTGAATAAATTTCTTTTTGTAAAACAGGAAAATGAATTTGTGTTTACACAACCCCTCCCTCCCCCACGAGGTCAGGTTTAAGTAAATGCTCTGTTTATAATATAAATATGTTAATTAATAGTTTATTTAATCTATGTTCCGTTTATACGTTATCTTTATAGATATAATTTATTTAATTAAACAATACTAATTACATTTACCAACCTGAATGTTCGAGAAATTTTAATATAGTAAAATATTTTTACTATAAACATATATCTTTATACTTTCCTAGTTTATTTTTTTTATTTTTTATTATGTTAGGGGTTTTACTACTTTCCCATAGTTTGGACCCTATATAGGTGCCACCGCCCCGAGATCAGGGGAACCTGCGAACAACAGCAATTAAGAGGTGGTTCCACGCTACTTAAAACCTATAATTTCTTGATCTGAGGTCCAGCTCTCAAATATACTTTATTGTCATAATGAGGACGGCCTGATTTTCTACAGTTTTTTTTTCTTTCTTTTTTCTTTGTTTTTATTCGTTGGGGAGTCAAAACAACCCTTGCATTAAAACCACAGCTAAGAAAATATCTAATATTTCTATTCCTTTTTTATTATTTTACTTTATTCTCGATTTCAATGTTTTTTTTTGGGGGGGGGGGGGTCTCTCTTAAATTTTTAAATTTTCTAGTTGATTTATCCATTTATTTGTGCTTCTCGCGATATCATTGCCCCCGGGTACCTTGTTGCATGACCTCGACCAAGCCTGTCGCCTCTGACAACAAAGCAATCCTTTCTTTCCCATGGATAGGCACCGAACAAGAAATGGGGCGGCTGACATTTGTACGTTGCAGGTAGAAAAACGGATTTTTTTTTTATAACTGATTTGATAATAGACATTCTTTTATACTACTGTTCACTCAATACAAGGCCCAAGAGCCACTCAAGGTAGAGGGGTGCTGTGTGGTGTTGTATGAGCGGAAGTAAGGGCAGAATTGAAATTCATGGGGCTATACAGAAAAGATAACGGTTAACCTTAAACATGAAGAGGTCAAGATTATAGAAAATAACCTGCTCGAAGACTGGTCTACAAAGCAACAGTTTTCGGGAAGAAGTTGATTTAGCGCCTATGACTCATACAGATGCAAACAGATGTGCATATATATATATATATATATATATATATATATATATATATATATATATATTTTTTGTTTAAAAATATGATTCCTTCGCTACATAAGAGTTCTCATGTTTCAAAAACGAGAGCCGAAATCATCCAAATAATTATTAAAATTAAGTTGAATTGAGGTGTTTAGTCTCGTTTCATCTTCAAGCGAAATTTTAGGAATAAGCTATCGTGTGTTTTTAGGCATGGTCCGTCATAACATTCGTTATTGTGGGAGTGGCTATGCTAGTTTTCTTCGTTAAGTGGTCAGAGAGTTAATTCTTATCTATAGATTCATCATCTTCTGAGAGGTTTTGCTAAGTTTGGGTAGGGTATCTATTTCAAGGATAATATTGGCGGTCACCCTTTAGTTAGTTCCCAGTGAGGGATATTTTTATGGCCCGCCTACAAGTCGTTATGTGTCGGGAGGATTGTGTTTTATTATTGTCCATCTGATTATCTATTTATTTGTTTGTTTATTCAAGTGGGTGTTTTATATACAAACCGTATTGCA